TTTTGGTACTGGGGATCGAACTTGGGACCTTGTGCTTGTGAGGCAGGTGGTAGAACCACTGAGCTAAATCCCCGGCCCAAAATATAGAGAATTTTTTGTTGTTGTTGTTACCAGGGATCAAACTCAGGACCTTGTGCTTGTGAGGCAGGCAGTGGAACCACTGAGCTCAATCCCTGGCCCAATATAGAGAATTTTTAAGTTGTTTATTTAATTGTCTTTCAGTTATGAGATAAAGCATTAAGCTTCTAAACTTTATGTTTATGAGATTATTTCTAAAATTTTAACATATTTTTCAGGGTCAGTTAAATGAAAGCATGGACCATGGGGGAGTTGGACCATACGAACTGTAAGTTCATATGTGAAGATTTTCACTGTGCTTTCTTTCAAGTAGTTTATGCTAGTTGCAGTCGCCCATCAAGTGATTCCAATAACGTGTTCTTAAATACCTAGTCATATTTGTAGACTTGCTTTATTGAGTTTGGCTTGAAAATCTGATCAATATAATGACATAGAGGTTTTGTATTGTGTATAGATTTGGAGAAAATAATATTCATGATCAGAATATCAGACTGAGTTCCTTAAGAATTTTTATTAGTTTAATATAGAGAATTACATTTCCAACCATTTTTAACTTAAAACTTTCAAGGAATTACCCAACATCATTCAGAGATTTGTGCAGTCTTGGGGTTTTTTTTTTGTTTGTTTTGAGACAGGGTCTCACTATGTAGTTCAGGCTGGCCCCGAACTCACTGTGTAGCCCAGGCTGGCCTCGAACTGCCTCAGCCTCCTGCATGCTGGCAATCACAGTCATGCGCTACCATATCCAGGTTCAGATTTGTGTAATCTTAAATCAGTCATTTTAAACAGTTTCTGGTAGGTGAATGTGGTGATTAATTTGCTCCATACCCCACCCTAGGTAAAAAGCTTTGCTATGGGAGGAAACTGAGGAAACTGAGAAGATAGATCGCTCACACAGGAAGCATTTAAATGACAGACACAATCGTCACCCATTTTGAAGTCTTTAAATCAGACCAATAATACAGAGAGACAGGCAAGGGAAAAAGCATGGATAAAATTTATTAGCAAGAGTTTTTGTAGCACACAGATGAACTAACTAATTGGGTAGTTTTAAAAAGATTCTAGATTGTCTGTCAAAGCTGCTAAATGATGTTAGATAATACCTAATCTCATGAACATTTTGAATGAACTAAATTTGAATAACTGGAAGACTTTCTTTGTCAACTTAATAAACTTGTTCTAATTTGCCTTAGTGTGGGGGTGTTTGATGCTTATGAAAATAATCAATAGTATATTCTGTGAACAAGCGGATAAACAATTACAGTCCCCTGCCATGTCAGTGAATTATCACTTACTACACAGATACTAAATTTATTGTCATGTACTTTTTCTTTTACTTAATTGGGTTCTAGTTTTATTTCTCCTTTCTAACAATATGCTAAAGATAATTTTAACTTTTTGCAAATTTACTTTTGGTTTTGCTTTTTTTCCCAGTGGCATGGAACATTGTGAGAAATTTGAAATCTCAGAAACTAGTGTGAACAGAGGGCCAGAAAAAATCAGACCAGAATGTTTTGAGCTACTTCGGGTACTTGGTAAAGGGGGCTATGGAAAGGTAGGAAGTGTTTCTGAAATGAGACCTGTTGTGTTTCTTGAATAGATTGATTTTTAAAACCTTTCTCCAGCAGTCAGACTCTTAGCCGTCAGCAAATGATACCAGGGCGACTTGGTGTGATGGGATTAGGAAATTGAGTTTTCCTTACTCTTCCTGTCACCACACATGGAAAAATCTGACACATGATAGGTATTCAGTCAGTATTTTTTACATAATAAGCAACTGTGTAAGACAAAATCTGTTATTAAAGAACTGATTCTTTCCTTTGGTTAAAGGGTATCTTGTACAGGTATCTTCTTTAAACACAAACAGACCACTTCTTACTTTCAAGAGATATGTACATTAAATTACTGTTACTGAGACCTTAATTTGAATTGGTATTCTTTGTTTTGTTTTGTTTTTTTGGTACCGGGGATCGGGGGATCGGGGATCGAACTCATGTCCTTGTGCTTACACAGCAGGCGACGAAACCACTGAGCCTAAATCCCCAGCCCATGAATTGGTATTCTTTGATTTGAAGTATCTGGAGAAATAGTTAGGAAAGGAAAGAATGTAAGAAGGAAGAAAAAAATGTATTTTTATAGTTTTGCCCAAGGGGCTCTAATTTAATGCCTTGCGTTTGTGATGTTCTGCCCAAGAAAACTTACATCTAGCCATTTTGTTTCAAAAGACAAAATTTGGATAACTTGCTTAGGATTAAGTTTAAGAACTGTTTGTGCTATTGGGTAGTGTTAATTTTTGTGAAATGTGACATTTGTAGCTTATTCTTAAACTTAAGGACACATTGTAATCTGGGGTTTTTTTTTGATACTGGGGATCAAACTCAGGTACTTGGGCTTGTGAAGCAGACAGCGGAACCACTGAGCTAAATCCCCGGCCCTGTAATGTGTTTTAATCATTCTGAATGTGCACACATGCATTTTGAATTTCACATATTTCAGCTGTTGCATGAAAATTATAGAACTAGCCATTTTAATGGAATGGGTAAATGAGGATTTCCTGTCAACTATTATTAAATAGTTTTATGTGAATTATGAATGACAGCACAGCTGGAATAAATTTATAAACTATTTTATAGTTTTTTAGTTTATGGTGTTCCTTAGAACCGTGACTATGATTTGTTCTAACTAGGATTTTATACATAAAGTACTGTGTGTGCTCATCATTAGACAGTCATTTCCCAGCCTTGCCACCAGGTGGCAACAGATGAAGCAGGAAGGTCCTGGTTTACCAGATTTCACTGCAGTAAACCTTAAAATGCAGTCTGTTGTTCTAGCTGATCATTTTTGCATTCAATCCTTCACAGTTAGTTTTTTTTGGGGGGGCGCGTTACTGGGGATTGAACTCAGGACCTTGTGCTTGCAAGGCAGGCCGTGGAACCACTGAGCTAAATCCCAGCCCCTTCATAGTTTTTACAATATAAACTACTGTATCATTTGTTTTTGATGCAAAGGAATTAAGGAATATGACCCACATAGTTTGGCTTTTAATAACACACAAATTCTTATTTCTTTATCCAGGTTTTTCAAGTGCGAAAAGTAACAGGAGCAAATACTGGGAAAATATTTGCCATGAAGGTGCTTAAAAAGGTGATTCCTCACCATCCCCCTTGTTCTTCCTTCCCACTAACACCCCCCATAATGCTGGGGATTGAACTCAGGGCCTTGCACGTGCTAGGCAAGTACTCTGCCGCTGAGCTGTATCCTTAACCCTACTATATAATTATAAAACCCTACTTATCTTTACTTAGTGATAGAAAATTTTGGTTTAGCTGGGCATAGTGGTGCATGCCTATACTCATATCTATGTGGGAGGCTGAGGCAGAAGGATTATAAACTAGAGTCGTGCCTTGGTAACAGAGCAAGACCCTGTCTCAAAATTTTAAAAGAAAATGAAAAAAATGGGGGGGGGGGATAAAATTCCTAGTTCAAAAAATGTGTTTCTGGAGGCTGGGTTGTAGCTTAGTGGTAGAGCATGTGCTTTGTGTGCATGAAACCCTGGATTCAGTCCTTAGCACCAAAAATAAAAAATAAAAATAAAAAATTTCTAACATAATGATTGTTTTAGAGTGTGAGATTTGTTTTGTTGGTTTTATTAGTTTTATTTCTGCTTGATGAGGGTAGAAAGAGCACTTTCAGCTCTTCTCTGAAATAATCTTGTAGTTGTTTTTAATCTTCCTATTATGATTGAGGATTTTAATTTTGTGGTACTGAGGATTGAATCCAGGGCCTTGCACATGCTAGGCAAGTGCTCTGACACTGAGCTATACCCTCAGCCCCACAGTTACAGATTAAAATCTTGAACCTTTGTGCTGAAGTGCATACCCAGCCCTTTAAAATTTTTTTATTTTTATTCATTCATTCATCCACTCATTCATTCATTTATAGTAATGGAGAGTGAACCCAGGCCTTCACACTTAGATACCTCCCCAGCCCTTCTTTATTTATTTTTTTTTATTTTGAAACAGGGTCTCACCAAGTTGTCCAGGTTGGCCTTGAATTTGTGATCCTCCTGCCTCAGGCCTCCAGAATGTAGGGATTACAGGTGTGTGCTACCATGCCTAGCTCCTTTTTCTTAGTTTATCTCCTGTTTTTTTGTTTTGGTGACTATCTCCTAGTAGTACCTTGAGAAAGGGTATAGGAAGCCACATTTAAAAAATCTGTTGTGTATTTGAGAATGTCTTTATTACAACTTTATACTTGCTTGATTGGGGATTGTGTGTGTGTGTGTCTGTGTGTGTGCACATGCGCGCAGTGCTGGAGATCATGTTGGCAAGTATTCTACCACTGAATCATACCCTCAGCCTCTGTGTAGGGTTTTGATGTTGAAAATCATTTTTACTCAGAATTTGTTCCATTTTCTTTTCTTTTTTTTTCTTGAGATAGGGTCTCACTATGTAGTTCAGGCTGGCCTTGAACTCACCATGTAGCCCAGGCTTGGTCTCAAAACTTGTGGTGATCCTTCTGCCTCAGCCTCCCTAGTGCTGGGATTACAGGCATGCACCACCATCCCTGCCCCTCCATTTTCTTGTATATTGAGAGTTTCTGTTGAGAAGTCTCTTGCCACTCTGACTCTCAGTCCCTTATACATGGCTTATTTTTCTTAAAAGTATTTGAGATTTGCTCTTATTTCTTGTGTTCCAAAATCTGATAGTGATGTGTCTTGCTTTGACTTTTAGTTTTATTCTTTTAATTTTAAATTTTCAGGCCTTCGGGTCTAGGAAATTTTATTTACATGATTTCGTTTCTATTGCTTTTTCTTCTTGGAATTGTGATTAGTGAGATATTAGACCTCCAGGACTGATCATCTAATTTTTCATATCTTTTTCATCTGTCCATTTCTTTGTCCTTTTGTTTACTTTCTTTTACTGATGTTTTGTTTTGTTTTTGGTACTGGGGATCGAACTCAGGTTCTTGCGCTTGCGCAGCAGGCAGCGAAACCACTGAGCTAAATCCCCGGCCCTTACTGATTTTTTGTTGTTGTTTGCTTATTAGTTATTTTCTGTTACTGTTTGTGATTTGAGACAGTCTTGCTGTGTAGCCAGGCTGTCCTTGAACTGTCCCATCTTTCTGCTTCAGCCTTCTTAGTCTGGAATTATAGATCTACATCACTGTGTCTGGCTTACTGATTGTTTTAGTGACTTTATTTTCTAAGATTTTAAAAATTACAATTATTAATGCATATTAATTGTACAGATTAATGGGTTTCGCTGTGACATTTCTGTACATGTACATAATGTGCTAAATTTATGTTTATGCATAAAAACAAAATAGTATATATTAGTGGGGAGCCATGTAAGATTTCAGTATATGCATGCCAAAGTGTTTAAATCAGGTTAAACATATTTATCTCCTAAAACATTTGTCATTTCTTTTTGGCAAAACTTTCAAAATCCTGTTTTTTCTAGTTTTTTTTTCTTTTTTCTTTTTCTTGTCCTTTTTTTTTTTTTGGTACCAGGGATCGAACTCGGATCCTTGCTCTTGTGAGGCAGGCAGCGAAACCACTGAGCTAAATCCCCAGACCCCCCTTTTTTTTTTTTCATGATGGGGTCTCACTTTCTTCTCTCTCTCTCCCACCTCCTTGTTTTTTCTTCTGATTTATGAAGATTTGAATATGTACTCCAGTCTTGTTCTTCTCATGTCTAAGTCTTATCACTTGGTTGTCTTCACTGGCTTTGTGCTGAGTAAGTGACCAGTAGCCCAGCCGTCAACTCTTTGATCTTTACTCCACCGGCTTTCATTTCCATTCCATGTCAAGTTCTTCACTCCCTTCATTTTTCATTTTAGTTTGAATCCAGTCTAATGAACATAATTGGACACTTCATTTATTTGCTATCCCCATTGACCTTATATTCAGAGAAATCCTAACCTGAATCAGCTCAGTTGTCAGTGCTCATTTATTCTCATATTTCAGCTACTGAGCGTTACTGGCAGAAATTACATAAACTCGTACATTGGTATTAGGAAAAGTTCACAATCCGCAGCTACAGTTTATGATTCCCCACTCATTTGGATCCTCAGGACTACCAAACCAACAAAAATATTTTTGAGACAGGGTCTCGCTATGCAGGTCAGGCTGACCTCGAACTCACTGTGTAGCCCAAGCTGGCCTCAAACTTTGGGTGATCCTCCTAACTCAGCCTTCTGAGGTATGCACCATCACGCCCAGCTCCCCAACAGTATCTTTAAAATGTTCCTCGGTAACTCTTTCCGTTCTCAACAGCTCCTCCTTTTTCTTGTAATTGTTTTCTATTTATTTCATTTTTCCTTGTTATTTACCACCTTTTTTTTCTCTTGTATAGTTTTTTTTTGGTTTTTTTGTACCAGAAATTGAACTCAGGGCCTCGCACTTGCCAGACAGGCGTTGTGCCACTGAGCTACATTCCCAGCCCTCTCTTGTATAGTTTTGTTTTGTTTTGTTTTGGTCCCGGGGATTGAACTCTGGACCTTGTGCTTGCCAGGCAGGCAGCGGAACCACTGAGCTAAATCCCTGGCCCGGTCTTGAATAGTTTTAATGAGCATTATATCTGGTGAGTATTCTCATCATCCTTTCCTCTGGAGATAAGCTCTTGTGATAGGCTTTACACTTTTACTTTCTATAGGAGGAAATATGTAACATATAACCCATTATTGCAAGTGAAATAGTTTGTAATACCTGTTCTGTTTCTGTTTGAATTCAGCACTTTATCATTAGAAAGTTATTTCTTAACAGTTTAAAAATTATAAATATGTTTTACTCTTTTGAGATAAAATTTCTTTCCTAAAGAATTTTTTCATATTATCAGCTCCTCTATTCCTTTTAGTCAATTGCCTCTTCCAGTTTGAGATCGTCAGATGTGATTTCTTTAACCTTCCTGTTCTAGTTCCTATCTCAATACCATATCAATTTTTATTTTCACTTGTTTTTACTTCTTTCTCTCCAGTCTTAGTAAAATATGTGTTTCTCTTCTTTTCTGAGGCCAATCTCTGGCTGTTTTCGACACCATTCCTTTTTGCCTATTCAGGGACTTTGCTCTGTCACTCTGTCTCTGTTTCTATCCTCTAGCCTGTTTTGGGGGGGGCCTTTTAAATTTGGGATTTTTAAAATTTGGAGGTTTTTTGTTTTTGTTTTTTTGGTACCGGGGTTCGAACTTGGGACCTTCTGCTTGCAAGGCAGGCAGCAGAACCACTGAGCTAAATCCCCAGCCTTGGAGTTTTTTGATGTTTGGGATTGAACATGTACTCTACCACTAAGCTATACTCCTAACCCTCCTATCTTTTTCATGCAATTATCTTAATGTCTCTGACAGATTTAGTTAAAACTTTCCTTTAATGAAGGTTGTCTCCCTTTACCTCTTTATAGATGAAGTAGGGTCCATTTTCAAGTTTTACTGTTTTCTTCAGTCAGTAGACTTTGACTTATTATTATTATTTTGCAGTACTAGGTATTGGACCCAGGGCCTTGCAGATGCTAGGAAAGTGATGTACCAGAGAGCTGTATCTCTAGCTCTTTTTACATTTTATTTTATATTTGAGACAGGGTCTCACTATGTAGTTCAGGCTGGCCTTGAGCTCACAGTGTTCCTCCTTCCTCACCCTCCCAGAATGCAGAGATTACAGGTGTATGATACTGCACCTGGCTGTGACTCTTCTGTTTCAATGAAACTTTTGTTCCATAGATCATCACTGACTTCCCAATTTCTGGATCCAGTGGTCTTTACTTAGTTCATCCTTAATATATCTCTGTTGCACTGAAGCTGTCAACTACAGCATTTTGAAACTCTTCTTTGACCACTGTGATTCTACTTTAGTTTCATTGTGTCTCTTAGTTGAGTTCTCATACTTTCCCATAGTTGCTCATTTAAAAACTTCAAACCTTGTGCTCACTTCCGCAGCACATATACTAAAAACTTCAAACCTCTTTTTTGTTTTGTTTTGTTTTGTTTTGTTTTGTTTTGTTTTGTTTTGTTGGTACCAGGGATCAAACTCAGGACCTTGTGCTTGTGAGGCAGGTGCCGGAACTACTGAGCTAAATTCCCGGCCCTCAAACCTCTTGAATAGTTCAAAAATAGTGTGTTGACTCAGAAGAAATATTATGAATATTATGACAGTCTGTCTCATTATTTGGTGAGGTTGAGTTTGATCAATTGGTTAAGAGAATGTTTACCAGATTTTCCATGCTACAGGTACCTTTTTGCTTTTGTAATGAATAAGTGATCTATGGGGTGAAATATGATATCCTGACCCAATGATTTTCTTTTTTTGGTACCGGGGCTTGAACTCAGGACCTTGCACTTGCAAGGCAGGCACTGGAACCACTGAGCTAAATCTCTGGCCCCAATGATTTTATTATTCATTGTTTCTTGCCCAGTTCAGCTGTTAATGTAGTGATTATAAAATGGAGACTTTTCCATTTTTATTACTTTTTGTATTGCACTCTGTTAAGTATTTCTTTTTAAAAAGTTTTTTAAAGTCAGGGGGCGGATGGCTCAGGGATGGAGTGTGTAAGCATGCATGAGGTCCTGAGTTTGAACTCAGGCACCACAAAAAAGTGAAAGTAAGTGAATAATTTTCAAAAAAAATTTTTTTAAAGAATCAAAGGCGAGGGCCGGGAATTTAGCTCAGTGGTTTCACTGCCTGCTGCGCAAGCGCAAGGACCCAAGTTCAATCCCCAGTACCAAAAAAAAGAAAGAAAAAAGAGAGAAGGCAGGTGTGCTGGTGTGATAGCAAATTCCTGTAATCTCAGCTATGTGGGAGAATGAGTGGGCCAGTCACTTGAGCCTAGGAATTTCAGATTATCTTAGACTATATAGCTTCAAAACAACGGAATCAGTATGCACTTTTTTTTTTCTCGCAATGTGTTAGCTATTTCTGTCATCATTCATTCTGGTTTTGAAATTGTCCCAAATTTTGCTAATTAGAGCCTTATTAAAATGGCTTCTCTGTGCTTTTAACATATACCCATCAGTTTTTGATCACCACATTAATTTCCCGTACAAGAGAGAATAGGCTGCCTTGTACTTTCCCTGACTCTAGCCTAGAATCATCTGTTTCTCCAAGGAACTCTAGTTTCTTTTGGTAAAGAATGGTGTTGCTTACAAACTGAGATCTGGGTGGTAGCCCTGCTATTAAGCTGCCGTTTTTCCTGGCTCTTGCAGTGGACAGAGCTGGTAAGTTTTTGTTTTTAATCATGCTTACATATTGACACCCTAATTCCAGTCCAGTTTCACAGAGCTCTTCTTCCTTCTGTCCCCTTCCTCTCCTTTTCTCTTCCCAGTCCTGAGGATTGAACCCAAGGTGTCACATATGGCAGGCATGAACACTACTACTGAGTTAGTAGTAACACCAGCCCTCAGTTCATATTTGTATCTCCCTTTTCTACGGTGAAAACCTGTTAATAACAATAATAGTACTATACTTGTTTAGTTTTACCATACATGCATAATACTGTGAGAATTATAACACCATTACTACTAGTGTCAAATCACTACTAGCTACAAACTTGCTACAAATGATTTAAAATTTCTTTGTAATTTTTTTTTTTAAATTACACATGGGCCACAAGAGCATGCAGCTACTTAAGTATCTTTTATCTCCTAGGGAAAATTTTTCCATGCAATATTAAATTTCTTTTTTTTTTTCTTTTTTCTTTTTTTTTTTGAGACAAGATCTCTCTATAGCTCAGGCTGGCTGGCTTTGAATATCAGTGTGTAGCCCAGGCTGGCCTCGAACTTGCAGCCATCCTTCTGCCTGAGTCTCCCGAGTGCTGGGAAAACAGGCACGCACCAGCATGCCTGGCCAAATTTATATATTTCTGATGTATTCAGTTTTATTTCCTTTCTCCATCTTTATTGACTTCATTTATTTTGAGAATGTATAAAACATTAATATGCTTCAGAAATCAACATCTGTAGTTAATATTTACAAAAATGATTTAGGCAGGAAAAAATAGGTAATAGAACTGTTAAGAGTACTCAGAAAGTATATTCAAAAATCCTCTTTCCTGCTCTTTCACTATTATTAGCTTGCAGTGTATCTTAGTTGTGTTCATTTTTGCAGATGCATGTATGTATTGTTACTTTCTTTCTTACACAAAAGATACCATACTATAGATGTTGCTGTACTTTATATACTCTTTTTCCCCTGGCTTTCATAAAGATGCTATTTTCATAGCTTCAAGAACACATTGTGTAGATTCCATAGGTTTTCAGCCAGTTTCCAAAGTATGACCATTTACATTAGTTTATTTCTAATATTCGCTATTACAATCAAGGTGGCAACTAATAATCTTGTGTACAGGTATTTGCTTCCCAGATGAGTAGCAGTGTACCATCAAGGTAACTTCTTAGAACTTCGACTCAGAATGTCCAAAATAGAACATCATTTTCCCAAAACTTTTTTTTTCCATTTTCATTTCCTGTCATTGACTAACACCATTGTCTGTCCTATCACTTAAGCAAAACCAGGGCATCATCATTTCTTCTCATATCTAATTATTCAGCAAGTACAAATGATGTACCTTTAGTCTTTTCATTTTTTTCCACTTTTCTTAGTTACAGGTCTTTTTAATTTCTTGTACCAGGCTTCTAACTAGTCTCATTTCTTCCCTAAAATGTCACACTGCTGCTAGTATTGCTAGTATTTCTTAAAGCCAGAAGATACTCATTTCACTGTCTCAACATACCTTCTTTGTCTTTGAGATAAGATTCCAACTCCTTTGCATAAATATCAAGCCTTCCATTTTCTGACCTCTGTCTTCTCCACCTTAATCACTAACCACTTTTTGCCTTACTGAACTACTTAGAGATCTCTGGACATTATCCTGTTCTGTCACTGTTATGCCCTCCACATTTCATTTCATCTTAGTAACTCTTCAGGGTCCAGCTTAAGTATCACCAATCACCTCCACAAATACATTTTGCCAGGTCAGATGGAATTCCCTGTTCACATATAGTGAACTCTGCTGACCTCCATTGACTTAATCTTTTTTCCTTAATTATCTGGGCTCCCATGAATACTCCTGCTTTGCTTTCTTGGCACAGAGTCTGAGCATAGTAGACGCTAAACAGTTAATGTATGAGTAAACTTCATCTGCTGAAAGATTTTTTTTGGTACTGGGGATCGAACTTGGGTCCTTGCACCTGTGCAGCAGGCTGCGAAACCACTGAGCCAAATCCCCAGCCCAAGATTTTTTCTTTTAAGAAAATGTATCTTTAGGTTTTCATTTACATATTTACTGCCACCCCAAAACCCCAAACAAACACAATTCACATGTGTATAAGAAGTGAATGTCTTGGGACCGGGGATTTAGCTCAGTGGTTCCCCCGCCTGCCTTGCAAGTGCAGGGACCCAAGTTTGATCCCTGGTACCAAAAAAAAAGAAGTAAATGTCTTTCATTACCCATCTCAGACTCTAGTGGGAACTATTCAGTATTGGCCAGAAACCACAAAATAGGTTTTCAAATTACTGTAGAATAAAAATGTGCACTATTTTGTTCTTATAGACCATCTCTTTTCCTTTAGGCAATGATAGTAAGAAATGCTAAAGATACAGCTCATACAAAAGCAGAACGGAATATTCTGGAGGAAGTAAAGCATCCCTTCATTGTGGATTTAATTTATGCCTTTCAGACCGGTGGAAAACTCTACCTCATCCTTGAGTATCTCAGTGGTCAGTACACAGTTTGGTGTAATTTTTTGCCTTTGCTCCAGAAACTGGGTCAAAATATTATTTTCTGGTGGAAAAATGCTTTTCCCCATTGTGATTAAATAGTTCATAAAATTGATGAGTACATTGAAGGAATTCAGGTGTGAACAGATGTTTCTATTTGCAGACAAAAATGAAGAAACTTTGAAGATTAAGTTTTTTCTTATTTGCAGAATTTTCTCTTAATTGCTTTGTTACTTTTTTTTTTTTTTTTTTTGGTACCGGGGATCGAACTCGGGTCCTTCCGCTTGCGAGGCAGGTGGTGGAACCACTGAGCTAAATCCCTGGCCCTCTTAATTGCTTTGTAATCAGCCATTTAACAAAATAATTGATGTAGAGCTTTCAAATTGTGCTGGGGTAAGATAGTATATCTTAAATAAAACACTAAAATAGACCTTTCCAAACTGGAGTGGAAAAACTTATTGAAAATATTGTTTAAGGTAGTGAATATATTTGCAATTATGTCAGATTTTTAGTTTAGTGTAGCAATTAGTGATAGAATGTGCAGTTTACAATAGGAATTGCCTATATTTTCCAGGGCCTACCATCTGCTAGGAACTTGTTGCCCCTGGTATTATTTCTAGATCACAAGTAGCTTCCCAGCAAACACACTTTGGATTTCTTAGAAATAGATTTTATAATAGCTTGTCTCATTTGAAGAGAAAGCAGCAGGATTTAGCAACTTTGTTGTGACTACTGCCATGTTTTTTTCTTATAGCTTTATTTTGACATAACTTCAGACACATAAAAAATTTTCAAGAATAGTACAGAGAATTCCCATATATCCCTCATCTAGGTTCTCTAAATGTTGTCATTTTAGTGCATTTGTTTTGTTTTATCCTCCTTTCTCTATGTATATGTATATAGGTATATACATATATATACACATACATAATTTTTTGAACTGTTTGAGTGTTGCAGATGTGATTTCCCTGTTCTCCTAAAAGTTCATGTTTATTTTCTCAAGTCAAGTACAGTATCTTATGTAACTATACTAAAATTATCAAAAAATAGGAAGTTAACATTGGTACAGTATCTGTCTTTAGTTTTCTTTAATTTCGAATAGTTCTTCAGTCTATCTTTGCCTCTCATGAAAGTGACATTTTTAAAGAACAAGCCAGTTATTTTGTAGAGTGCTTCAATTTTTAGGTTTATCTGATGTTTCTTTAGGATTGGATTCAGGTTATACATTGAAGTGACATTGTGTCCTCAATACATCAAGTCAGCAGCACGTGATATTTATATCTTACATCAGAGTGAACTGATGATGTTCACTTTGCTCAGATGTATTAAGTTGGTGTCTTCGGTATTTTCCCTTTTGTGAGTAATAAGTATGTTTTGAGGAGATATTTAAAATATCTCAGGCTTTCATATTTTTTGGCATCCATTGATTCTTGACTGTAGCAATTAGCTGTGATGTTTGCTAAATGATTTTTCTTATCCCATCGTGCCTCTTTCATTTATTACTTGACATTCTGCTGTAATAAAGAGCTTTCCTTTCTCCCCCATTTAAATATTTATTCATTTATTTATATCATTGTGGACTCATGAATTCTAAGATTATTGAGTAGACTATAACCCTTTATTATTATTTATTTTGTTGCTTAAATTGTGCCATTCTTTTTTTTTTTTTTTTTTGGTGCCATTCTTTTCACAAGGCCACTTCCAGGTTTGTTCCACTTATTTAAGGGTTTAGAAAATATAGACTATTATCATTCACTAAAATTAGTGAAACTGGTTTAATTATCTAATAACATTTTTCTGTTTGTGGATAAAATGTTAGAGTGGCTTTAATCAAGATTCTTTTTTTTTTAACTTTGAGTTTACAGTCTACTCATATTTTCATGTTTGTAGATATAAAACCTAGAATTCTAAGCCAGTTCTAGTTTTTAAACTTAGAAGGATAAGACTGCTCCCAAAAAATAGTATCCTGTAGACTTGTTTGTAAAAATCTATATAGTTTTTCAGATCTAGTTTTTATATTTAAGGGCTAATACCTTTTGAGTTAGAAAGGAAGTACAAGGTCATTGTAAATAATAATTATTTCTAATGCCCTTTCCTTTTCTTTACAGGAGGAGAACTATTTATGCAGTTAGAAAGAGAGGGGATATTTATGGAAGATACAGCCTGGTAAGTAAAATTTTTGTGGTCGCATGGATTCAGGTAATGATTCATATAATTAAAAGCAAACCCTCATTCCCATTGTGGGCAGCCAAGTGGTTCAGTAAATTGATCTAGAGCCAGTCACTCAGAACTTCAAGGGGGAGAAGCAGCTTTGGGACTGAGAAGCTATTAGAGGTCATATCATTCCTTTGCCCCCAGGCCTTGGGTGGACCGCTCTTCACACCTGTTATTCCTAACAGAACCATTCTCATTGCGGCTTTCTTTCCTTGAATTGGTAAGCTGCCTGCCTTGGCTGTGGGTGAGTGTGGTTTTCCAATGAACCTTTATGTGTGGAACAATGGAAAGTATCAGAAATCATCTCCTCTTTTTTTTAGACTTTCCAGTTCCCAAGGTGCAGTCTTAGGGAAGTGATAAACCTGCACATATCATCTGTGGATTGCTTATGTAGCCAGGATGGGATCTACCGTCCTATTCGTAAGATGGCATCTGCTTCAGATTAAAATACACACATCCTTTTGTGAAGCAACAGTACTGGGTAACAATAAAAAAGTTTATCCTACACATTAATTGAATAGAAAACAACACTTAAATGTTTTTTCTACCTTAATTACCAAACTGCATTCCATTGTTTAATTTCAGGCCTTTTCTAACACAGAAGCTGCATTTAAGAGCCTTAGGGATGAAGTGCCCTTTTTTGGAGGAGGCTCTCTGAGCCCTGTTGGAGGCTGTGTTTGTGGTTGTGCTGGCTGTGAAACTGCCTCAGTCCTCTAGGACACACCCTCTCCATCCTGGAGTAATCTGCAGGATTGCAACCTTGTTATGCAGCCAGTATTGCAGTGCCTTGTGCTTTTCGAATCCAGACAGGGTTGATTCAGCCCTTTATTCTTTTGAGGTAGATAAATTTGAGTGTCACACAGTTTATAGTTGTGGGCTGGCTGGCAAGAGGGGAGGGCAGATACTGTGGGCATTGCTGTCTGTAAATATACAGCTTGTTAAGGGATGAGTGGGCTTCTAAGGGTTAGGCCATAAGGTAACTTTTTAAATCAAGACTTGATCTCTGAGAATAACAAAGTTTCTGTTTCCTATGGAATTTTAAAGCTGCGGGTGGGTGGGAGGAATTTGCTTTGATCTGAATGACTATTGGCCTACACAGAATTGAAAATGATCGGTCACAGTTTAGCATATTCTGACTTTCTTTGCATATTTAGCAGTATGTTCAAATGGCAAAATAAAACCCTTTATAATTTCACTAAAAGAGTGAAACGTTAATGTCCCCATGCCTCTTGGCAGCATCCTATGCCATCTCTTTTCCCCATACATTCCCTCACCTCACTGATTTGGTCTTTGGTGCATGTCTGTTTCTTTCAAGGAATTTTACTCCATACATAAATTGCTTTGGGTAGATTATTCTTTTTAATTTATTAAATCACTTTTGTTTCCAGCTTTTACTTGGCAGAAATCTCCATGGCTTTGGGGCATTTACATCAAAAAGGGATCATCTACAGAGACCTGAAGCCGGAGAACATCATGCTTAATCACCAAGGTGGAGATAATATTATAAACAGTTTTGTAGTAAATAATCATCTTAAAATCTTCCTACATAGGTCATGGCCATTTTCAAAGCCCCCATATTCATCTTTTGCCATTATACATTTGCTGTCTCAGAATTTGTGGCATCATACCCTTGGTGATGTTCTAAGTATTTAGGTATTTATGATTGATGAGAGTAAACCGATTTGAAGGTAACTACTCTTTACGTCTTTTTCTTTTTTTAAAAAAATCTTATGTTGTGACCCAAAAGCCAATCCAAACATTAACTTTGATTCATTCCTTAAATTTAAAAGTAAATTAAGTTGGGCTGGGATTTAGCTCAGTGGTTCTGCTGCCTGCCTCAAAAGCACAAGATCCCTAGTTTGATCCCCGGTACCAAAAAAAAAAAACCAAGTAAATTAAGTTTTAGTGATGAAAATACAGTAAATATTAGAATCAGTATATTTTGTTTTTAGAGACAGGGTCTCACTATGTAGCCTAGGCTGGCTTCAAACTCATGGCAATCTTCCTACCTCACCCTCCTGAGTGTTGAGATGATGGGTGTGTGCCACTTTCTGACATTGTGTGGAGTCAGTACATTTTATGATACATTTTACTAATGCTGGAAAAAGAAAGGGATTTTAAAAATATTTGATGTAGCCTTGGAAATAAAATGTTTATTAGGCATTATTTAATTGTTGCTATTTGTTTGTGACAACAGACATCAGAGAGACTAATATTCTCTACAGGTATAAATTTAGCAATGTGAGCCTACACTACAACTGCTTGCTGCTGCAGAGAGCTCAGTATATGCTGCAGTAGTTTGGCCTGGGTAGATTTCACAGTTCTTCACTCATACCTCAAAGGAGCAAATCACAGAGCAGGATATCTAGGAGGCTGGTAGAAGCTGCTGATCTTTAGATGTCTGCAAAGTGATTCTTGAGGTAGTTAACTGTCTCAGACTCTTGGCCAGAAGTACTTTATGGACAACTGAGGCCAATATATAAATGTTTCAAATAATTTTTTTAAGGAAAAATGACATGGTTAACCAAATACATCATAGGAATCAATGTCTCTCCCTCCCCCCACCCAAGATCTGGATTCTGATTCGGAATTCAAAGGCAAAGGATAGAATATGAGAGTGATGGAATAGGAAACTTCTTTGATTCGTAAGCTTGAGTATATCAGGTGGATCTGTGGAAATAAAGGCCCTATTTCTTTCTTCTTCTGTATCAGAGTATAGAATATACTTACATTTGAATCTGTAGGCCGTTGCCTTTTTCGTTCTCTGAAATGAACCTGGAATAGTAAGGCTCTTGGTGGTGATGAGCCACTGGTTATCACCTGAAAGTTCAGTAAAGCTAAGCTTGAGATGAAATAATCTTTTGGGGGGTTTTTTTGTTGGTTTTTTTTTGGTACCAGGGATCAAACTTGGGTCCTTGCACTTGCGAGGCAGGCAGTGGAACTACTGAGCTAAATCTCCGGCCCCTGAAATAATCTTTATGTAAAGAGGAGCTCCACCTTCTGGACCAGAGATGATTATCCTATGCCAATATTAATCCTTCCCTCTGATGTAGCATTTGGCAGAGTAAGCTAATTTGTTACAGTGTCTTTCTGAGTCCATTTAAAGAACTGTCAAGTCATAGATCACTGTGATAAAAGCTATATGTTTGAAGTAGTGTCATGACTTTTGCTTAAAAGGTATAGAATACTGTATGTTTATTAGAGTCTGTTTACTTAAACCACACTTCAGAAAGAAGCTTTCCCAGGATTTAAGAGGATTCTACATATAGGTAAAGCCAGAAGCTTAGACAAGATGTTTCTTTTTTCTGTTTGCTTTTTTTCCCCCTATTTTATCTTTATTAGAATGATTATGTCATTGGTAAAAAGTGACTCTGTCTTAGCCTATGCTCCCCATCTTATGGATGGCACCTAGTTAATTCTTGACATCTTTAAGAATAGTTAAATCAAAGGATAGATCATTGTCTCGTGAGAAGTTCAAACACCACTCATGCTTAAAATAATCCTGCTGTAATCTTTCATTGTAGGTCACGTGAAACTAACAGACTTTGGACTATGCAAAGAATCTATTCATGATGGAACAGTCACACATACATTTTGTGGAACAATAGAATACATGTGAGCTGCATGTTAAAAGAAATATAACTTGTGTGGGGGTAATACTTAACTTTTACCTGATTTAAGTAATAGTGTTGTAGTTTTCTGTAACACCATTGGCTTTGTATGTTTTTACAATTCGAAAATTCTAATTCAGATGGTACACAAATGGGTGAATTTTTAGGCATCTTATTTTTCTCATTGTAGGGCCCCTGAAATCTTGATGAGAAGTGGCCACAATCGTGCTGTGGATTGGTGGAGTTTGGGAGCATTAATGTATGACATGCTGACTGGAGCAGTAGGTGCACAGTTAAAAGCTGCATGTGTTATGGTCTGTGCTGAGTAGTTATTAAACCACGATAGCAAGAGACCTTTCCTTTTTGAAAATATTAGTAGTGGAGTTATTTTCAAAGCCCAAAGATTGGTTATTAGCAATTTAAGATAACATTGCCCTGTACTTGCATGGAATCCATACTTTTAAAAGCACTTTTATTTAAATACTTTTAAACATCTGTGAAATAGATGAGGATAGATAATGGATTTGTTTTACAAGGGGAGAAACTGAGGCATAAAATCCCATGATCACTGATGATCATCGAGCAAGTTAATGGAAATCTGGCCTTCCTTCCAGGACATTTGCTACTTCCTCTATATCATTGCTTAAAAACTACAGATCTTTATTAGTTTGTTCATTTCATAGCATAGATTTTTTTATATCTATTTATAACTAGTTCAGAAAATGAATAATACTACTTTTTAAAATTTTGTAGACTAATTTTTCTCATTCTTTTCTACCCTTAGCCTCCATTCACTGGGGAGAATAGAAAGAAAACAATTGACAAAATCCTCAAATGTAAGCTTAACTTGCCTCCCTACCTCACACAAGAAGCCAGAGATCTGCTTAAAAAGGTATTTTTGTTTTTTGTGGTGCTGGGAATTGAACCCAGGGTTTCATACTAGGCAAGTGCTCTACCACTGAGCTATATTTCTAGCTCATGAGTAGGGTTCTAAATAGGCACTCAAATTACAAACCTTATCCACTAGGATTCTAGTTACCTAGATAGATTTTTTTTTTTCCCCCAGTACTGGGCATTGGAACCAGGGCCTTGCACATGCCAGGCAACTGCTACTGATGCAGCCTCTCCAGTCCTTTTTATTTTGAGACAGTGTCTTGCTAAATTGTCCAGACTGGCGTTGAATTTGCATTCTTCCTGCCTTAGCCTCCAGATTACCTGAGATCATAAGCGTGGGCCACCATGCTCAGCTAGATAGAATTGAACATCTGTTTTGAATAAAGAATCATATATAAGCCAAACATGGTGGTGCAGGCCTATAATCCTAGCACTGGGAGGCTGAGGCAGGAGGATCACAAGTTTGAGCCCAGCCTAGGCAAATTAGTGACTTAGCGAGACCTTGCTTTAGAGTACAAAATTTAGAAAGGATTGAATGTAGCTCAGTGTGAAGGCCCTAGGTTCAGTCTGAATACTACCACCAAAAGAAGAAAAAAGAACCATATATAGATATGGGGGGGAGAACCCTGTGGACTTTGAAAATGAAGTACAAAATTATAGATTTTCTTTTTGTTCTCAGGCAGTATTTGGTAGTAATTAATAAGTTATATTTTCTCAAGGCAAATAAGCAAATTTGAAAGGAAAAAAGAAACACAGTTGGACTAATGTTTTTCATCACTGCCTTTTTTTCCCTCCCTAAAGCTGCTGAAAAGAAACGCTGCTTCTCGTCTTGGAGCTGGTCCCGGGGACGCTGGAGAAGTTCAAGTAGGGATTGGCATGGCTGGCATTTTGGGAAAGGATAATGCTAATTTATTTGTGAGGGTTGTATCTAGTTGCTTAGAAATTTAAGCTTATTTTGTGAGTTGTAACTTTTTAAAAGTTTGTCGCAGTCTATTCCCGTTGACTTTTTCTGTTCTTTTTTTTTCTAGGCTCATCCATTCTTCAGACACATTAACTGGGAAGAACTTCTGGCTCGGAAGGTGGAACCCCCCTTTAAACCTCTGTTGGTATGTGTACCTGAAAGCATGTAATTTCAGGGGCCAGGTTCTTTTATAGAATGGGAAAAAATCTCAGCTGACAGGAACATTATAGTTGTTTTTTGTTTTGTTTTGTTTTTGGGGGGGGATTTTTTTTTGGTATCAGGGATCAAACTCGGGACCTTGCACTTGCAAGGCACGCCCTGGAACCACTGAGCTAAATCCCCTGACCCTATAGTTGTTAAAGTTAAAGAAACTTTGGTCTATCCTCTCTTTTTATAATATTTTATTCCCTCAGAAACAAAAAAAAACGAAAAAGAAGTAATACCAGCATTAATTGCCCAGGCTGGCCTTGAACTTGCAATTCTCTTGTCTTACTTTCCAAGTAGCTGAGGTTATAGGTATAACCACCATACCAGCTGTTTTTAACTTGGTTCAGTATTCTAAGAAAAAATATTTTATTTGTTTGTATATATTTATTTATATTAATTAATTAATTTTTCTTTTGAGATAAGGTCTCACTATGTAGTTCAGACTGGCCTTGAACTCAGTATGGAGCTCAAGCTGGCCTCCAACTCACAACGATCCTCCTGCCTCAGCCTCCTAGTCCTGGGATTACAGGCTTGTGCCACCACACTACATATCCAAAGTTGGCCATGAACTTATGGCAATCCTCTAAAATATACTTCTGAATAAAAACTTCAAGACACAGTGGGTTTTTTGATTGAAGTCAGTGTGGTAATCTTTTACTATTAAATCAGAGTTTTTTATTTCTATTTATTCCCTATACTGTATTTGGCCCAAGAGTCTTAACTGGATATATCTGGAGAGGATTAAAGAAATAAATCTGGTGGTTTGACCTTAGGTGCTACAGTTCTTTCACAAGGAACTACTTAGGGTAATCCTCCTGCCTCAGCCTCCTGAGTGCTGGGATTATAGGCATGTGTCACCATGCCCAGCTGTTCACATTTTTTAAAATTTTAATTAAATTGTTTTATTGGTACATTGTAGGTATACAACACAATTACATTTCTCATTGGGAATTGTACCTTTACATAATGCATCTTGGTTCTTATTTTTTCCCCATTCCTAGCCCTCCCTTCATGCCCTCCACCCTTCCCTATTTACAAAGACTTTATTTCCATTTTTTCTATTTCTCACCATTTTTCCTTTCCCTTCTTTCCTTTCCCCTGCCCCTCCCACTACCCCTACCCCTTTGGACCTTTTCTTCCTATTTTACATTTTCGATTATTCATTCTAATCATTGGTACATTTTAGGTATACAATATAATGACATTCATCATTGGAAATTTGCACCTTTACATAGTCTCTCTTGGTTCTTATTTTTCACCCTTGCCCAGCCCTCCCTTCAACCCCTCCATTCCTCCCTATTTACAAAGATTTTGTTCCTATTTTTCCATTTTCTCATATTAATCCCATTCCCTTCTATCCTTTCCTCTAGCCCTCCCACTTCCTTCCCCTTTGCCCCTTTTCTTCCTATTTCACATTACCTATTATACATTTAGTCCTTATTTACACTTTCAGTTTCTCACACCAGAGAAACTATTCGGAATTTATTCCTGTGTGTCCTATTTATTTCACTTAAGAGTATCGCCTCAATGTGCATCCACTTAGCTATAAATGTCTCTAATTTCTCATTTTTTATGGCTGAGTAGTACTCCATTTTAGAAAAAAACCACATTTTCTTTATCCAGTCTCTAGTTGATGGGCATTTGGGCTGTTTCCAAGTTTTAGCTATCACAAACTGTGCTGCTATGAACATGGGCGCACATATATCACTGTGGTATGATGCTTTTAATTCTTTGGGGAAGATCCCCAGCAGTGGAATAGGGGGGTCAAATGGGACTTCCACATTCACATTTTTAATAGGAATGAGTGTCATTTTTTTTTTTTGGAATGATGACTCTATACTGGATGTATATTAATGTTTAAAAGTTGAAGATGTAATTTCACTGCTGACCTTTCCATCTGCATTTTTTCTTTGGTCTGTGCCTGCTAAGACTGTTCTGATATTACACTCTATCTAGAGCTTGCAACACATTGGATTGATATTTGTAATATAGACTATTCATCATTTTCTAATAATTGTTTTTACAAAGCAATCTGAAGAGGATGTGAGTCAGTTTGATTCAAAGTTTACACGTCAGACACCTGTCGATAGCCCAGATGACTCAACTCTCAGTGAAAGTGCCAACCAGGTCTTTCTGGTAAGTGAAATAAGTAAGTATGAGAATGATCTCTTCAATTAAAAAAATTTGCTTTGAAGTTCATGGAGATAACCTAGCTAACTTGTTTTTAAGCTATCACTTTAAAACTTATGTTTTTTAAAATCTAACATTCCATTAAGAGTTTTTTAACATTGACACTTGTTCATTAGAAAAATAACAAAATTCTCTCTAATCATTGGCCTCAAATCAGAAATATCACACATGCTAGGTGAGAGAATTCTAGTTTTAGTTTGGCCTAGTTATGAAAAGCTGAATTGAGGGTGATAACCTTAGTTGCTTATTATATGCATAGCTGAAAACAATAGTTTTCTTTGCATTTCTGTTACTTAACATTTTTTTTTCTTTTGATTTTTGAGTCAAGGACTCATTATTTTGCCCAGGCTGGCCTTGAATTCCAGATCTGCCTGCCCCAGCCCCCCAAGGTCCTGGGATTATAGGCATTGGTCACCTTGCCCAACTACCTTTTTTTTCCTCCCCTACTCCTGACAGGATAGATTTTGTTTCACGGCTAATGGGATGAGGATGTAGGTTAGTGGTGGGGTGTGTCCTGCGAGGCTTGAGTTCCTAGTTTCAACTCTGCCAAAAAAAAAATGGCTTCATGGTTAACAGGTGTGAAAATGAGATTTGAGGAGATGGGAGAGTATACACATGGGTAATTTCACTTGGTTTTGTTTATATTGTTTATGATGCTATGGATCTTAATTGAGGCCTCACACATGTCATCATGTACTGTGTACCACTGAGCTACACCCCTATCCCAGCATCGGTGATTTTAGGTGTGCATCATGTAGGTGTATCAGTTATTGAATACACAATTTCTTGATGTATGTAACAATGCCATCCTGTGGTCCATTGTTACAACTGTCTTTCAGGGTTTTACATATGTGGCTCCATCTGTACTTGAAAGTGTAAAAGAAAAGTTTTCATTTGAACCAAAAATCCGATCACCACGAAGATTTATTGGCAGCCCACGAACACCTGTCAGGTATTTCAGACTCTGTTATTCTTGGTCTTTTTAAAAATAAATCTAGAAGACAACTGATTAAGACATTTATGCCAAGTTACATGAATGAAAGATCTGTCGTATTCTTCTTGGTGAATGTAAGCACAGCATCTACATTTTCTTGTATTACAAAGGACTAGTCTGTGACTAATCTAACATAGGTTATATAGTTTACCTTCCCTCCGAAAAGTAAGCTGCTGCACAGGCAAATGCTCTCTTTATCCATTCACTCAACATTTACTGTGCACTAGGGGCTGTGCTACATGCTGCATCTTATATGATGATACATGCATAGTACACATAATGTAGAAATTCCCCCTAACCTGAGTAAGCTTATAATTTAGTGGGAAAGAGTCACAATAAAGATGTGAATATGCACAACTACAAGCAGTGCTAAGTGCTATACTGAAAAGAAAAAAAAGCTGGGTGTGGTAAAATATGCCTGTAATCCCACCCACTTGCAAGGCTGAGGCAAGAAGATTGAAACCAGCCTGAACAATGTAACAAAATCCTGTCTCAAGAAAAAAAAAAGTGAAGGGAAGAGACTGTGGCTGTAGCTCAGTGGTTGTAAGACCCTGGGTTCAATCCCTACTAAAGTGGCAGTAGAAAGCAAAGGAAAATAAAGGAGCTTCTGCTCCTTCTGGTCATAGGAAAGAGCATCTGTGCAAAAATATAGGAAGTTCACAAATGTTGCAGGCTGAAGAACGGCAGGAACAGAAGCCCTTAGGGAGGAAAAAACTTGGCCTTTCCTTGAAATTGAAAGGCATGTCAGTGTTCCTGGAATGAGCTGAAGTGAGAAGAAAAATGGCAGAAGTTTGAAAAAGTATCTTATTTTAAATGTAGTGGGAACCTGTTTTAAGTGTGGGGACAAAATGACTTAAAATATGTAACATTTAGGATTTTAGGAGTTGAATGTAGAGGTAGAGAAGACCAGTTAAGACATTCTGGCAGTTATTCTGGGGGAGAGACGGCTCAACCTTTTTTGCCTTTGTCCCAATCCACTTGAAAATAAATTTAAATGAAAAAATATATATGGCTCTCTTCCCTTTAAATAAAAGGGAAATACTTTTTTTGTTTAGATGATCATTGAGACAAATGAATGATAGCTCTTCCTTGTCTTAAAGCCCAGTCAAATTTTCTCCTGGGGATTTCTGGGGAAGAGGTGCTTCAGCCAGCACAGCAAATCCCCAGACGCCTGTGGAATACCCAATGGAAACAAGTGGAATAGAGCAGATGGATGTGACCATGAGTGGGGAAGCATCAGCACCACTTCCAATACGGCAGCCGAACTCTGGGCCATACAAAAAACAAGCTTTTCCCATGATCTCCAAACGGCCAGAGCACCTGCGTATGAATCTATGACAAAACAATGCTTTTAATGAATTTGAGGCAAAAAAGAAAACACAAAAAAACGGGAGGGGATATGCAGGCATCCTACAAGATGAAAAAGGAAATTCAAAATGACAGTCTCAAAAGAGTCAGTTTCATTACCTAGAACACTTTGGACGAAGGAAAGAAACATGGATTTTTAAAATATCAATGGTGCAAAAAAAAAAAACTTAAGCAAAATAGTATTGTGGAACTCTTAACTACATTAATTGATTCCTAGCAACATCTCAACGTTATCAAGGATTTTCATGTTGATGGCTCGAAACTGACAGTATTAAGGACAGGATGTTGCTTCTGAATCACTGTTCTGATTATGTTGAAGGAGGGTTATCCTTTCATTAGGCAAAGTATGAAATTGCCTATAATACTTGCAACTAAGGACAAATTAGCATGCAAGCTTGGTCAAACTTTTTCCAGCAACATGGAGTCAAAGACAAAAGAAACCTACCGATTGATGTTTTACGTGCAAACAACCTGAATCTTTTTTTTTATATAAATATATATTTTTCAAATAGATTTTTGATTCAGCTCATTATGGAAAACATCCCAAACTTTAAAATACAAAATTATTGGTTGATGTGAAGAAAGCCAGACAGCTTCTGTTTCTTCTCTTGATGAAATAATAAAATGCAAATGAATCATTGTTAACCACAGCTGTGGCTCCTTTGAGGGCTTGGGGTGGACCTGGGGTTTATTTTCAGTAACCCAGCTGCAATACCTGTCTGTAATACTAGGAAAAAAATCTATTTAATCATTTCTACTTGCAGTACTGCTATGTGCTAAGCTTAAATAGAAGCCTTGGAATGAGCCTAAGTTGTATGTCCTATATTTCATCCTTGTCCTGGGCCTGCATTGCACTGAAAAAAAATTGCCACCTTATACCAGTATTTGGTTCTTATACCAGTATTTGGTTCAAGACACCAGATGTGTTCAGCCCATGGCTGAGGAAGGATGGAAGAGTCAGGATAAAATGTATGAGGGCAGCAAGGTGGGGGAGATGGAGATTTCCAGGGAAAGAGAGAGATTATTGCTGTGGTCCACTCTCTTCTAATCTCTACAGCAAATTGGTAAGGTTGTTAGTTTTACTTTTTACTGTTTTTGCTGTCTACCTTCCTTAGGATTTTTTCCTCAACAATTTTAAGAAGGAAAACAGGTCTAATGTTTTTTCTCCTATACTGGGGCTACATTTTTTGATTGTAAAAATACTTGATGGCCTTTTAATGGGTGTCTTCCACAATGAATAAGAAAACTTAGTGGTTTCATTTAGGAAACATGTTAACGTGACACTTTTTGAAATTGTAATAAAATCTACACAAGTGATTTACAGGTACAAAAAATAAAAATAAAGGTAACTTTATCTTTTTAAAATACTTCCTGCCTTAAAGAGAGCATTTCCACGACTAGCTGGTGAAAGGGTTTAATATCTGCCGAACTGTATAAAAAATATACTTCAGTGCAAACTGGTATGAGTAGATCATGCAGTTACAGTTGACTCTTAGCACTTCTTTTTTGTCTTTTATAATGTCTTCAGTCTGAATGTCAGTCAGTTTGTAAGTTTGCAACCCTAGATTTTTTTAAATAGATGCTGCTTGCTATGTTCTCCAAACCTTTTTGAGCCATAGGATCCAAGCCATAAAATTCTTTATGTATGTTGAATTCAGTCAGAAAAAGCAAAACTTTGCTTATTTAAATTGTAATTCAAGTGAAATAGAATGAAATCAGTACAGAAGCAAAACCAGAACCATGAAAAATGATTGAAAATATACCATTTCAGTTGTGGCAATAAATGAAAGGATAAAAAAATCTTTAGACAGAAAACCCTATTTTTAAAAATCATTTTCTCTAGACCCTTCTCTTACTGCAGCAGCCTACTGAGAATTTTATAATTGTACCTAGTAAATTAGAAACTAAATCATAAGAGCAGAAATTGTACTTAACATGCAGATCTTTATTTTCTGACAATTTGTGATGTCTGAAAAAACCCCAAAGCTATGGTTATATATAGGCATTATTTCAGTCTGTAAATGGCTTATACTACTCTCATACTTGTTTTCAAATGTGTTTACTAACTGTAGTGTTGACTGCCTGACCAAATTCCAGTGAAACTTTTACACCAAAATATTCCTTCTCAGTTCTATTCACTAGTAACACGTGCACTGTGACTGGCTATTACCACCCCATTGGTAAACTGTTTTCATCATTAGTACTGCCAGTAATAGTGGCAAACACCATAATTTTTTTGCATAAAACCACTAATTGCCCACCTTACCATCCACACAAATTCTTAGTTTTTCTAAGTTAACATTTATTAAATGAAATTAATTTCCCACGCTATGGCAGGTTTATTGAGAAATTATTTCATAAATGACAATATTCCTACTATGACTGTGAAAACATGTCGAGTGTCACTTTAGTGTCACAGACAGAAAGCACACACCTATGCAATATGGCTTACCCTATATTTATTTGTAAAAATCCAAGCATAGTTTAAAATATAAGATGTCAATATTATTAGTCTTGAGTTTCTAAGAAGGTTCTTTATGATTATACCAGGTAAGTGTATAAAACTTAAGTGCTTTTCTTTCATCACTTGATTATTTTCTTTAAAAATCAGCTATTATAGGATTTTTTTTAATTTTATACATGCTGTTTTTTAATTAAAATGTAATCATTGAAGTTTACTAATTTGCTTTTATAAAGGTTTGTAGCATTACCAAATAACTAAACTGGGATTTATAAACCAGCTGTGATTAACAATGTAAAGTATTAATTATTGAACTTGAACTGGATTTTTAGGAAAATTATGTTATTTCCTTTTCTTTCTTTATGGTCTTAACTAATTTGAATCCTTCAAGGAGTTTTCCATGCTATTTTTTGAGACAGAAGATAATGTGATAATGTAGGGGGAAGAGGATGCATGTATTAAACTTCATAAATTCAACATTCTTTCCTGTAGGTAATAAATGATTATAAACAAGATGCATCTTAGTACCAATATACTGAGCACTGGATTTCATATTTAATATAAGACCTAAATTTTTTGAATATTCAGTTAGTCATATGGTTTCCTAGCTTACAAGGGATAGATCTAAGATTATCCCCATAAGAAATGTTGAATTTATGAAGAATGGATTTTGAGACTTTAAAAATGGTTTACTTCTGGGCCAGGGATTTAGCTCAGTGGTTCCCGCTGCCTGCCTCACAAGCACAAGGTCCCGAGTTTGATCCCTGGTACCAAAAAAAAAAAAAAGAAAGAAAATGGTTTACTTCTAAAATAAAAGAATCAATGTCCAAACATCTACGTTTTTCATAGTAGTAGGCACTAGCAAGCTGGACAGAACTTATCATAAAAAAGTATTTGTCACACATGAGCTGTGGTCTACTGCTGATTAATACAGTATATTTGTGTGATTTTTAGCACTACAGCACAAGTATTATCTCAGTGGATTATTTGGAGTAACATCTCAAAGATGGGTTCATCCCTGTGTTTGCTCTTTAAACTATTGTTTCTACTATCCCAAGTTGGCTTTGCATTCATTAAATAAATTCTTCAGCTGCCTTATTAGGAGTGCTATGAGGGTAACATCTTTTCTGCTTTTCATCTTGTATTTAGTTTACTGTATTGAAATATTTCATTTCAGATCGAATGAATGTAAATAGAAATTAAATGCAAATTTGAATGAACATAAAATAGAAGTGATTTTTTTATTATCTTAAGAAAACTATCAGGTGTACAATTTTATTAATGTCAGATGTGTTCAAGTTCTCATATTTAATAAACTATGTTTGTAAGGAATGACATTTGTAAAAATTTCTGCTGAGAAATTGAAGCTATTTAAATATATAAGATTTTAGTATTGATTTTTATGTATTAGATGTTACACATCTTTGCTTTTCAAGTTATGTCAAATAATAGATTTGAATTGTTTTTTTTAAAAAAAGATGTGAGACACTATATTGAAGCTGGTGTCACATAAAAACACTAGGAATACTTTCTTGTGTTAAGTCAACTTACTGAGCCACACTTAATTACATTTGAGGTATATGCATAGTGGTGCAAAAATCTGTTAACTATTGTCCCATTATCTACTGTAAGATAGGCATTTTGTGTAAACCACTTATCTATATCACACTTGCCAAGATGGTATCTCTCGCTTACAGAAGTTCTCATGATATTACCCTTTCATAATTCATGGTAGCATTTCTTAATGCTGGTACAATAATGTTTTAGAGGTCATGAACATGATCTGAATTTACAGAATAATTGGGTTTGGGAACTATATTCCCCTTTCTCTGAGTTGAAGGACTAGAAAAAGTACAGAAATGCTTCCAGTTCATAATGGCATAGCCCTATATTTTTACCCCATTTTCAATTGTTTGCCTGGCCAAAACCCCCACCATCCACCACCAACTGTCATTTAATCATATTGAGAAACAAAGCTGTCTGAAGAGCCACTATGTTAAGTAGGTGTGCCAAGTAAACCCTCACAAAACAAAAAAATAGACTTTTCTAGATTTCAGAATCTTCCTTAAATTAAAGGGAAAGAGAAAGTGCCTCATTCCTCTTTCCACCATTTTGCACAAATTACCTAGAGGCAAACAAGCCACATTATCCAAAAAGCTTATGATTCCCCTAGTGCAAACTTTTCCCCCTTAGTGCTGAGGATGAAATCCAGGGCTTATCACATGCTAAGGCAACCACTCTGCTACTGAACCATACCTTCAGCCCTGAAGTGTACATTTTATTTATTTATTTATTTTTTGGTACCGGGGATTGAACTCAGGTCCTTGCGCTTGCGCAGCAGGCGGTGAAACCACTGAGCTAAATTCCCAGCCCTGAAGTGTACATTTTAATGTCCCAATTAAAGGTGACTCAAGCCTAAGATTTCAATACTTTTCTGGAGATTAGTTTTAAAGATTTTATGGAGTTGGTTTTGTTTGTTCTTGGTGGGGATCAAACCCAGGAAGACCTCATACATGCCCAAGCTCTTCATTAAGCTATATCCTCAACCACCACATGAATTAGTTTAACATTCAAGCTCTCCATGGCGCTGGAGATTTAGCTCAGTGGTGCTGCCACCTGCCTCGAAACTGCAAGGTCCTGAGTTTGATCCCCAGTACCAAAAAAAAAAGGCAGCCAGTAGCCAGGTGTACTAGCAAGATCCTCCATGGCACTATACAAAAAGCAAGACTGACCATTAATGTGGATGGCAGGAAGCAACTATAAGGCCCACAAACAAATTAATTTAAACCATTTATTCTCACTGATTACTAATACTGTAGAGAATGCAATATTAAAATATATCCTGAGTAAACATCTTTATTTAGAAAGTGATTATTACAAGTAAAATATAGTATTTAGAACTTTCATTTAAAAATACAAATTTTATGAAAATTTTAAGCAATTTTAGAATGACAATTACAAAAGTCAATGTTGAAGAAAATTCTTTTGGATTATATATCTTAAAACCTTGTGAAAAATACTCTTTATTCTGAAAACAATGTCAGGAAAGAATACCTGAATTCCTTTCAAACCATAGTTCTAGTTTCTAATTGCTGTTTTGGTAATAACAAGAAAATATTTACAACTTAACACTGCAATTACATGTCAAATAAGGATATAATAAATTGCATATCATTAGGCTGAATTTTACTTCCTTTGTATGACAGAGTTCTTTCATTTACTCGTCTGATAAACTGAACTATACATATAAGCTTTGTAAGATTCTAAAATGATTTGGAAACATTTTTCATCTAGCCCTGAAAATACATCCTAATGCCTTTACCAGTAGTCACTATAACCAAATCAGTTTTTTGTGGCCTTAATAATTGATACCATTTAATATATCTGAAGGTGTAATGAAGTGGCTCCATCTTTCCATTTGTTTATATGGTCTGAAATCACAGTTCTGCACAGTGGACATGTTTTCTCTCTGTTAAACCACAAGGTAATACACTCTTCACAAAATATATGCTGTAAGAGAATTAAGAACTAGATTTTATAACTGATAAATATTTTACATTCATATTACAGAGAATCATATTCTTTAGAGCTGAAAGGGATTTTGGAGAGCATTAATCCTTGCATTTTACAAATGAGAAAATGGTGAAAGTATGACACATTCAAAAAGAGTGGTTTTAGTCTTAGAGCCACTAGTATTTTTCTGACTTTACTATCCATTAATTTTTGGGGGGTTTTTTGTTTGTTTTGGTACTGGGGATAGAACTCGGGTCCTTGCGCCTGCGCAGCACGCGGTGAAACCGAGCTAAATCCCTGGCCCCATTAATTTTTTTTATTGGACACAGGGTCTCTCTGTGTAGTTCAAGCTGGTCTTGGACTCACTATGTAGCCCAGGCTGGCCTCAAACTCGCAGTGAATTCCCCTGCCTCAGCTTCCTGAGTGCTGGGATAACAGTCGTGCACCACCACGCCCAGCCTCATTTACTTATTTTTAATAAAGTCTTTGAGGCAGTAACTGCCATAAAGAAAGAAACTTAACATATTCCAGAACCAGGTATGTGTACTGTCCTACAATACCAGCATCCATTTATTTTTTAAAAAGCCTACCAATCACTTTTGTATCAAATTTGCCAACTGAATTATTTTCCTCTTGATATACTCCTCTGCTCTGATGAATGTGATCATTATGTATATCTAAAATGTACTAATAGGGCCAGGGATTTGGCTCAGGGGTGCCGCCACCTGCCTTGCAAACACGAGGTCCCGAGTTAGATCCCCAGTACCAAAAAAAAAAAAGAATAAAATGTACTAATAAAGTTAATTTTAAAAATACTCCCCTGCATAAAAATATCAAAATATAAGGGAGAGGATTTAGCCAATTGAGCAAACACCTAACAATGAATAAATTATTAGTATGTACTGTACTCTGAATGCTGCCTTCTAAATATTGTAGCTTTTTTGTTGTATAGCAGACATAAATGTTACTTAAGTCACAGGAAAATGCTGTATTCAGTTTGCTTAAAAATGTAATTACCTGGCAGATGAGTAGAACTGGCTTCTGAAATTCAGCTTGACATATTGAACAAATATCATCCACATCTGAACACTGTCTCTTGCTGGCAGCTACTCCATAACTCTATGAAGGTAAGTTACATTCAGCTGTAAATTTCTTTGCTGTTTCTTAAATACATACTTCTTTGTATGTATTTCTCAGATACCTACTTTGTATTTCTCAAATCTCCCTGGAACCCAGCATTTCAAAACTTTCCAATGGAGACAAACTTCATAAAGGAACCACATATGCAAAATAGCACTTTGACTATTTCAAGGCAAAATCATTAAGTAGTACATAATAGGACTGCGGAAAACTTAAATCCAATGGATTCCTAAATGATACCAGTCCTTCAAATTCAACACAAATGGCATGAAAGACTAAGCAATCTAAAACGTAACTTAATATTATAAAATCTATATTCACGTATGCTATTACCCAGGATTGCCAAATTGAGCCCACTTACTGCCTATAGAGGTAGTTCATAAAGTCAGTCCAGAGTATGGCTAGTTAAATGTAAGTCATGTGAAAAGGTTGCTTTAGAAATAAAGATGTGGCTAAGTGGTAGAACTCTTGCCTAGCATGTGTGAAGCCCCTAGGTTCAATCCAAGCATAGAGTTTAACAACAACAAAAAAGGCATGTGTTCCACACTGGACATTCATTTGGTAGGCCCAGACATCTAGGATATGACTCAGGAATCTATTTCATGAAAGGTCTCCAAGGTGAATTCATTGTGGAGGTTTCAAAACCAGTGAGCAGTCTGATACTAATCAAAAAATTTTAATTACCTTTAGTAATTTGATAAAGCAAAATTTACAAAGAAAGTAAGTGCAAGATGTCATTGGGATAGGAAAACAGCTGTTAAAACTAATTGAATGATAATGCAATTCCTTGAATTTTATTTTATTCTAATGTCCTAAAAAGAATTTCTGATCTCTTTAACTTCTTAACCTCCTTACCAAATTCAGCAGGACTTACTTAGTCATTCACTAGATGTGACAGTTTAAGAACACTTAGGGAAATTCGGAAGAATCAAATGTAATGAGATTAGGTTTCTGAAGAAATGATAGAGAAAAGGCAGTTAAGGATGACTTATTTCAACATACATGAAGTTAGGATCTAAAATTCTTGTACTAAATGTCTAGGGATAACAAAATCAAACTAAACTACAAGGGATAAAAATATTAAAAATTAGCCAGGCATGGTGGCATCTGTAATCCCAGTACCTGAAAGAGGCCAAGGCAGAGGATCATTATGAATTCAAGGCCAGCCTGAACTACAAAGTGAGATCCTACACCTCAACACACATCCCCAAACTAAAAATGTTTTTGAGACTGGTAACATTAAAAGTTTCAGGATTAAGTCAGGATACTGTTAAGTGACCTTGATGCTGTTTCTCTTCACTAAGTATTATTTAGCGGAGTACACTGCACATATTAATGCTGAAAAGCTTTTAAAGCATCATTTGTCTAGCATTTCACCCTTTAGATGAAGACTTGTTCTGATGATGACAGCCATTTCCCTGGTAAAGTTAAAGAACATGAATATATGTGTTTGGGATATCTCAGGTAGACTAGTGAATAAAATTGTCAATGATAATTATACAGTACTTTCAGAAAGACTAAGAGCTTTTTCTTTTCTTTTTTTTTTTTTTTTTTTAAACAGTGTTGAGTAATCAATCTACCACTGAGTCCAGCCCACAGAGCATTCTCTTCAGGGTATGTCAGCATAAATTTTACTAGGTCAATTACAGTAAAATGTGTCATGGTTATATAATCATAAACTGGATCAACCTGAGTAAGGATAAACTCTTTGAATTTTATTTTATCTTCTCTAAACCAAGTATTAAGATCTAGCAAAACTTGTTTCTATGTTGCTAACTCTACCTTAAAGGACAGGTGCCCTGGGCCAGGGATTTAGCTCAGTGGTTTCGCCGCCACCTGCTGTGCAAGCGCAAGGACCTGAGTTCGATCCCCGGTACCAAAAAAGAGAACAAGTGCCCTGAATCAGAAATGGACATGCATGCCTGTAATCCTAGTACTTGGAGGCTGAGGCGGGAGGATTACAAAGTTTGAGACCAGACTGGTTAATTTAGCACCTTAGCAAGACACTACCTCAAAATAATGCTTTAAAAGAGCAGATGATAAAGCTCAGTGTGAAGGCCCTGGATTCAATCCCCGATACTACAATAAAGAGAGACAGACTAGAGACAAAGAAAGATGCTCTGGCCGGTTAATCTAGATCACTTGTAGACAATCATTGTTTTGTTTTGTGGTTTTTTTTTTGGTACCGGGGATCGAACTCGGGTCCTTGCACTTGCGCAGCAGGCGGCAAAACCACTGAGCTAAAGCCCCGGCCCGACAATCATTTTTTAACAGTGTATTATTAGGTTGGGATTCTTGTAAATCAGTCCCCTTTGGTTCAGAAGCCTGAACCAAGTAACTGTTGCAGGGACTGCAAAGCTGAAGATCAAGCACTGAAATGTGATCACTTTTCGATACTGGGAATCTTTGAGGCTCCTAATCAGCCTTTTCTATGACATCTTTCTTTGCAATTTGCAAGTATCATCAACAGAACCACAAAATCAAGTTTATAATTGACAGTGGAATCTCAATTATTAAAATCCATGCTGTGCACTTATTTGTGCATACAGAATTGAGTAATGGGAAAATTTCTTCCAGTAAGAAACTGTAAAGGCTATGATTTTTGGTAATGAGCTTTCCTCAGAAACACAACAAATTACAGTGGAAGCATTTTCATAGAAGTTGGAGAAAGTTAATGAAAATACACAAGCCTACCATTTGTGGATTTAAAAAGGAAAAAGAAAAGTTCATGAAAAAATAAAGTAGTTATAAGAAATCCTTTAAAATGTCAAATGATTTGGAATGATAGGTACATTCTAATACATAAAGGACTCCAATAATTAATGGGTAGGTTCAATGTGCAGTTTAAGAAACTGATCATACAACTAAAACTCCTAAATCATTATAGCCCCAAGAGCCAAAGTACTAGAAAATAATCTCAAAGTAAAAGAAAAAGGTCATCTCATGTAATCCATACTTCTAAAACTGCTAAACTAAAAAGTTGTATTATAAAGAAAGGTAAAAAAGTTTTTCAATTGATAAAAAATACTTACTGGTCGTGTAAAAAATATACGTAAAACCTGTCTGAAAGTTCTCAGATGTCCAAAGAAATCCAAAAGCTGAAAGATGAAATAACACGTAATTAGTCCAAAGAACCCTATCTGCTAAACCCAAAGACCAAAGGTGAAGTTTTATAACATCAAACTCTCATATTACCTTAATGCTAATTGCATATCATATCTAATTTTATTCTAAATATATTTCAAATCTAATTATGAAATATTGAATTTCCAGATTTAAGCTATCTTAACCAATTTAACCTGCATTAACAATTTGATCAAGACAAACATGTCAAAGACAAAGCAATGTTTATCTGATTCACTTGTTCTGAGTATTTAAAGTTCATAAAGCAATTATGTTGAAATGATCAGGTATAAAGGAGGTGAGAAGATATTCCACAAGTTTGAGAATTATGTGTATGACAAATATTACCGTTGAGGACGGTTCTGTACTATTCCACTTGTTCATCCCATCCCTCTTAGATAATCCATGCTATGTGGAGGTTCCAGATAAAAGCCGAGAACCACTACATCCATATTCTGTGTGTGGGGGGAGGGGGGTGGGAACTGATCTCAGAGCTTTTGCACTAAGCTACAACCTCAGCCCTTTTTTATTTTGATACCCAGTCTTGCTGAGTTGCCCAGGCTGTGCTCAAATGTATGATCCTACTGCCTTAGCCCCCCAGAGTGCTGGAATTTCAGGCATATGCCACCACGCCTGGCTCTCTTTGAGAACAGGTTCTTACTCTGTTGACTAAGCTAGTCTTGAACTGATGGTCCTCCTGTCTCAGCCTCTGAAATAGCTCAGATTATAGGCACATGTCGCCATATCCAGCTCTCCATATTAAAATAGATATAGAACATGCTATTACTTCAAACTGAATACAAAGATAAATTTTTTAAATCCGTTAAGGAGCCAAGCATGGTGGTGCAAACCTGTAATCCAGCTACTTGGGAAGCTGAGACAGGAGGATTTCAAGTTCAAGGTTGGCCTGGGTAATTTAGGGAGACCCTGCCTCAAAATAAAAAGGGTTGGGGATGTACTTCAGTGATAGTGCACTTCTGTAGCATGTCCAAGGCCCTAAATTCAATCCCCAGTACCACAAAAAGGGGTGGCGGACTATTAACAAGAGAGTAGTAGTATGTAAAATCAATAATCATTATATGAATCATTACATACTGACAAGATTTATAATGTTACTTACTTTTAGTATGAGGTAGAGTAAAGCCAGCAATATCCCAAGACTCCATCTAGTTACATTACCCAACTCCCCATAGCTTATAAGGTAACGAAACCAAACTGGTATGGGAACAAAAGTTCGGTAATACTGACATAATTCTTCTAAAAGCATATACCAGTAACCCTAAAAAAAAGAAAAAGAAAACAAAGAAGAGCTACCCAAGCTACTTAAGTGCATAGCACAAATAATATTAGACTGAGAACATCATGAGTATATGATACAGTAATACAAATAACTAAGAAATTAATTTTCATACTTTGATTATGACTGTCAGTTTCAACCTGCTTTTGACATATTACAGTCACTGTATGGTTTTTTAAAATTATTTCTAAAGAATGACATAGTGAAGATGTTTTTTATATACTACAAGTAAACATGTTTTTGCTCATTTTAAAAATTTTATTGCGTATCAGTGAACCCACTGAGCAACTGCATATAATCCACTATCAACTGATAATGCCTGGAAGAAGAAGTATGAATATAATGTTTTCTCACATATTATGTGGGGATTGATTTTATCATTCTGAAGCAAATATAACTGATTTTATCCAAATAGCTTAAAATTTTGGTTCAAGTATTTGAACAAATAGTTGTCAGGCTGGATATGAAGGTAATTAAAATTATGTTATTTAGCAGACTGAAAAATTATACAAAATAACATTTAAACAAAGATTAAGTAACACTAATGTGGTTTGTTAACATCTTCCTAATAAAGCATTAAGTTAGTTTCTTACCTTTGATTTAAAAGGCATGATGAAAGAAGGCACCAATAAAATAAGGCATTTTAAGCCCATGAAGAGGAATTTCAGAATGAAGTCTGTAATTCCAACAATCCAAAGTACTTCCCAGAAGTTCAAATGATCCAATGTAGGATTCAAGAAAATTAAGCTATCGAGAGAAAAACACCAAAATTTACAAGAGCAATATATAAAGGTAAAGTATTGATAAGTTTTAAATTTGCTACAAATATTTTACTTTCATATGTAAAATACTTGAATTTGGCAACATAATGGCAGAGTTCTGATAAACAGAGGATCATTTTGCTCATTTTAAAGGGGCTTTTTCTTTGCCATGCTAGAGATCCAAAACACACGTGCTGGATAAGTGCTCTACCACTTAACAGGACTTTTTAAAATGTCTGCATGCCATATCTTCCTTTCATGAAGAAGAAGTAGTCCAGGAGCTGGGGATGTAGCTTTGCAGTAGAGCTGCTTGCCTAACATGCACAAGGCCCAGGATTTAATCATCCCAAGTACGGGGAGGTGAGGTGGCAGAAATCTTCCTAGTTTATCATGGTTAACACCTTCTGACCTGTAAACTAAAAACCTAATACTATACTAGACATCTGCCACTCTCTTTAATTAGTTCTAATCAGAATTCCATCCCTTCTTTCCACTGAACTTTTGTCAAGATCACTACATTCCTCTGTACTGCTAAATCTGAAGGTCACTTCTCTCTTTCCATCTGCCTTCCTAAATTATCATTGTAGACTTTTTTTTCTTTTTATAGTACTGGGAATCAAATCTAGGACCAAGCACCTGCTAGGCAAGCGCGCTAACACTGAGCTACACCCTCAAATCACTCCTAGACTTTTTAACACCATACTCATAGCTGTTCTTATGTCAGTGATGGTTTCTTTGTTGTTGCCTTTGCTGTTCCTCCTCTGTGGTCATATCTGCAACTGAACCCTCTTCTTTCTTTCCCTGTTTGTCTGTCCAGTCCTGTGGGTTTTAAATATCAACCATATGTCATAATTTATAGCCCTAATGTCTACCCTAGGGTCATGACATACCTAGGACCATCTTAAGAATTCTACTTGGTCTCTCAATACTTAACATACTCAAAACATAATTGATTTCAAAACCAGTTTCTTCCCCAGCCCAATAAAATGTTAGCTGCTTGGACTATAAACCCAGGTTTTCTTTTCTTTACTTTTTTTTTTTTTTTTTTTTTTGCAGTACTGGAGATTGAGTCCTGGGCCTTCACAGAACATCCAGGTTTTTTTTCTTTTCTTTTCTTGAGACGGGGTCTTGCTAAGTTCTGGAGGCTGGGCTCAAACCTGCAATCCTGCCTCAGTCTCCCAAAGTGCTAGGATCACAGGTGTGTGCCACCAAGCCTAGGTTCAGAGATCATTCTTGCTTTTCTTACCCATCTGCCCAATCTCATTTGAGTCTACTGGCTCCGCCTATATTTTCTATCCTAGATTTGTCTGTATCCCCAATTCCACTGAAATAAGGATTTATTATCTGATTAAAGCTGAAAATTCAGGACAGTACCACCCCTGACCTGAAAACTTGTCACCTACTTTTTTTTTTTCTTGGTAACGGGGCTCGAACTCGGGTCCTTTCGCTTGCAAGGCAGGAGGCGGAACCACTGAGCTAAATCCCCGGCCCAAATGTGAGGGCTTGTTTCTGGCTTTTTTGTTTTGTTTTTTTTTGGTACCAGTGATCAAACTTGGGACCTTGTGCTTGCAAGGCAGGAGGCGGAACCACTGAGCTAAATCTCCGGCCCTTGTCACCTACTCTTTTAAAAGTCTTCTTATGTCTAAAAACAAACAAGCAAAAAAATAACCACTTAATGATACTTAAATAATGAACAGAAACTCAGTAATCAAAAAATTAAATATTTATTAAGCACCTGGTATGTGCTAAGGCATTAAAAATACAAGTCTGATTCTCTTAAAAGCTCTCAATCATGAAAAGAGACAGGTAAAAACTGAACTATAATACCATAAGTATTATATGCTAGTAGGATATATGCACAGTGCTATGGAATATATGACTGCATAAAAAATGTGTATTTGGAACTATAATTTACCTGTAATAAAGTGACTGAGAATGAAAGGTATAGTATAAAAGAACAGAAGATCCTGCTAAGAATACCAGTAACCAAGCACACTGAATCTTTGAGGACCTTTCCTGAAAAATAAATAATTTTATAATTCGTTACTTTGAATTATGCCAGAATTTCAAACATGATTAAACTTTTAATTTAGACTGATTTATTTAGAATGTTTTTCTAGATTAACCTTAATAAAAATAGATTATCTGTTAAATTGTACATCATTGCCAGTCATTCTCTTACTTATCCTTCAGTAAACATAATACAACTTTTACATTTAAACAAATTATAAAAATACAAGTTTCTTCGCTGTTATGTAAAACATAACCTGTGTTTTTAAAGAAGCCAAATCGACAACCTGACATAAAGGACCTACTCAAAGCAGTCTTTACCTTTCAGCTTCCTTTTTTGGACCTCTTCTACAAAACAGAATTTAAAAAATTGGTTTTAGTCAGTTTGTAGATGTTTATTTATCGGTGTGGTAGTGAACACAGGGCCTCACACATACTTGGCAGTTGCTTTACCACTGAGCTATCCACCCCCACCCCCACCGGGGGTCAAACTCAGGGCCGTGCACTTGCGAGGCAGGTGTGGTGCCACTGAGCTACATCCCTGGCTTAAATTATTTTATTTTGATAAGTTCTATTATTAACTTCTAGGTCAGAATGCATGAATCTTTAACAAAGAGTTTTCCTTTAAAGTAGCCTTAACATAAAATTTTATGACTTTTCCTAGTTTTCCAGTAATTTATATGACTAGAACTCATATATTATAGAAAAACTGCTTGAGCTTAATTTTAAGAGAAATTTGTAAACAATTCAATACTCAATTATTCAGTGCCACCTTTTATTTATGTATTTAAATTTTTATAATACATCAACTCTAGCTTTTAATGAGATTCTATTACCTATTATGTTCACATTAACTCACAAAACAAAGGCATTTGCCAAGTAGATCAAATAGTATGGTCTAAGCCTTGTAATCCTACTTTTTCTTTGTTCTTGTTTCTTTGACTTGTACTTTTTTAACGTTTTTATTTTTTTGGTACCAGGGATTGAACCCAGGACCTTGTGCTTTTGAGGCAGGCAGCGGCACCACTGAGCTAAATCTCTGGCCCTGTTCTCCTAGCTGTGTAGTTCAGGCTGGCCTTGAACTCACTGTGTATCCCAGGCTGGCCTTGAACATCCAGTAATCCTCCTGCCTCACCTTCCCAAGTGCTGGGATTACAGGCATGCACCACCACACCTGGTATCCTTCTACCTTTTTTTAGGAAGCAAACATACAAAGAAAACAAGGTGATACTCTTCAGCATTAGGACAGAAAATTTATCACAGGTCATTTAAGTAAGAAAATTGAATGTATCACAGAAATTAAAACATATCCCTATTTCTCTCATTAATGTTCTATTTCAAAATTATTTCTCTATAATTCTATAGAGAAAATAATGTTTTAGTTTCTTTTTATACTTACTCTTAGAAAAACCTGATTTACAATGCTTTTGTTTGCATACATAAAAGTTGTTAGCAGCCCAATTCCAAGAGAAATCCCTGTTAGAAAATAAGTTTCAGTTAATTGAAAGAAAACAACCCAAAGAGTACATAAGCTAGTAACATGAATTAAAAGGAAACAAATTTTAAAAAGCCAACAGAAAATAACTGAAATGCATAGGTTAGATTTCCAATAATGAAAGAAAATTAACTGAATTTAGCAATTAAACAAATCAGTGTTTTATTATGCCCTACCTGTAATATGCTGCATAACAAGTTTGACACCCAGAATCAAAATATATGGAAGGCATTTTTGCAACCACTTGAAAAGGTGGCGGAATTCTGAGAAAGAGCTACTTCCATGTTCTCCAGATTCTGTGGCAGTGTCATCAGGCTGCCTTGCTTCACTGTGAGCGTGACTCCGGAAACGACCATGTACACATTCATGAGTACAGCTGTGGACACCTGACCTTGTATTTCTAGAGCTTGGATTTTCAACATATTCTCTCGGTATGGAGTTTATCTGGATATGAACATCTCCAGAATGAAGATAAGACCTTTCTCCTGCCAGTCTTGTTGCATGGACACATTGGGAGGCTGACACATCCTCAACACTTGCAGTTCCTGAAGAACTGTGCAGTTGGTGACAATTGGCTTGCATGGCCCTTGAATATTTTTTCTTTGCTTCAGGGCTCTGTCTCCTAAAAAAAAAAAAAAAAAAGCAGAAGATATTCCAAGTGAACAGTTAAATAATGACAGTACATTCCTCAGTGTCTTTTTTTTTTTTTTTTTGGTACCGGGGATCGAACTCCAGTCCTTGTGCTTGCAGGGCAGGCAGTGGAACCACTCAGCTAAATCCCCGGCCCTCAGTGTCTCTTATTTACTAAAAGAATGTTGGCGATGGTCACAGCAGATGAATTTTTGGGTTATCTATCCCTTATTATTAGATTCTCTCCTCTAATGCCAAGGCTCTGCTGCCCTACACAAATTATCTTTCAGGAAACATTTGCTACAAAAACGCCTTGAACTTCATTCAGTGCTTCCAATTCTCAGTGCCACAAGGTATTAGCAAGATAATCATGAAGTATGGGTGCCCAGCAGACGTTAATGATGAATATTAGTAATACTGATTACTTTGGTACATTTACTCTGCAGCCAGCTGGAGCAGTTGCATGTCTGACATAGATTGTTACATCAAAGAAGTTTCTTAAGGAAGTGTGAGTATTTTTCAATGCTTGGAAAGGCTAGGAAGAAAAATCAATACCTTATCCCAGAGAACTAATAATGATTTCACTTACAAATTCGCTTCAGGCTGAAACAGCTTCTCCAAAGCTAATAAGGTCTCCAATAATTAATGGTGGTCCTAGCAAGCGCCAAGGTCCCGAGTTCCATCCCTGGTACCAGAAAAACCCCACCACCAACAAAAAATAATGGTGCTACCAAGAACACTGATATTACAGTACTTCCCCTCCCAAAAGAACGTTACCTAAATACCTTTAAAATCGGGGATTTAGCTCTGTGGCGCTGTTGCCTGCCTTGCAAGCGAAAAGTCCTGAGTTCGATCCCCGGTACCGCAAAAACAAAACAATCGGGATATTCTGGGAGAGTAAACATGTTATTGCTAGGTGACGTGTCAGTCTGAAAACGGGTAATGACAGTTTGCCGATTAAAAATGTCTCCCTCACCGAGGATTCAGCTCAGTGGTTCCGCCGCCTGCCTTGCAGGCGCAAGGTCCCGAGTTCGATCCCCGGTACCAAAAAAAAAGTCTCCCTCGGTGACGTGTGCTGCAGGGGCCGGGGGTGTCAGAAAAGAGGCCGAGGGCAGGGAAGGCTCCCTACGCGATCCAGCATGGGTCTTATAGGACGCGGATGCCAGAGCTGGAACCCGGCTGGCGAAACGCAGAGCCCTTCGCAGCTGCCGAGCTCGTCGCGTTTCTGGGTGGACGCTAGCGTGAACGCCAGGCTCGTTGGAGTCGCTCTATTTCTCCCCTGGGTTCACCTATCTGCGGTTACAGGGTGGCGGTTTGGGGTTCAGCTCTGTTCGCTGACGGCTTCTGCCGAGGCACCCAAGCCACGGTGCTATATATTTCCTCAAATCTCCCGAGAAGCGACTTTGGTAGGACACTTTGTGTCTTTTCTATAAATAAAAACAGAACCATCCCACTCTCCTCCATGCAGAAAGAAAAGAGAAAAGGGAAGGAAGGAAAGAAAACAGCAACAACTCTTCCGGAATCCCCGACAACACTCCACCCACGCCCGAGTCGGCAGCACCTCAGTTAACCTCCCTCGCCTTCCGCCGCGGCCCCCGCCGCCACCGCCGCCGCCGCCGCCCGCCTCCTCTCATGACCGGGAGCTGACCTCTCATGACCGGGAGCGGACGGAGGCCTCGGCACCCACAGAGGGAACAGCCGCGCGCGCCTTGCCAGGTCCTTCGGCCACAGCCACCATCCTCCAACCACTGCAGCTTCAGCCTGGCCAGCGGCGGCGCACGCGCTACCCTGACGTCCTCCGGCGCTCGCCCCTCCCCTCCCTCTAGTCCCGCCCCGCTCCGTTCTGGCCCCGTCCCGCTCCCCGTCCCCGCGTCGCGCAGAGGGTGCTGCGCGTGGCTGGGCTGGCCCTTGGGCGTCCAGTCTAGCGTGTGTACTGCTTGTGGAATCTGCGCAGGCCTCCGACGTCAGGGACGTCTGGATATTTAGTGAGTGTAGACTCCGGAACTTGCCTTCGGAGCCCGGGCCTGGAGCGAGGGGCGTTGCCGGCCCGTCCCCGCTGGTGTCCAGCGTAGGCCTCTCCTGTCCGAGGCGTCGGGACTCGCGGGCCGACCGTGGGCAACACGTGGGCGAAGTTCGCCACGGCTCCGGAAGGGCGGGGCTGGGCGGAGCGAGAGCGGTTGGGTTTCCGGACTCGGTTCCCAGCGCGCGGATCCTGACCCACTTGAGGCGGGCTGGGTGGTGACGCTGTGGCGCAACAGGGCT